GCGCCCAGCCGCGAGGGCAGCGTCTGCGACCGGGTGTCGGAGTTGGAGGACTTCTGGAGACCGCCCTCGCCCTCCGTCTCGCCAGGTAGGAAGGAGCGCGGCCAGCAGCGCCCAGCCGGGGTCCGGCTGCCTTTCTGGTGCCGTGGGGCAGTGTCGCTTGGCTGGGAGCCGCAATCGAAAAGCAGTGCGTGGGAAAAGGCAAATCTGTCCTTTCCACTCCTTTTCGGGTGCTCTCTCTCCCAGGTTGCCTTTCCAGCCCATCTCCCACCGCTAACGGAACGGCGGGTTACAGTCAGGCTGTAGGAAACTTGTGATGCCCAAGGCCATCGGTTTTTTGGTTTCTCATAAATTGCTAAGGCTAAATTATGTTTTAAAGGTCTCGGCATTTGCCTACAGGGTCCAGCTGTCGTGAAGTTCACTGGAATCGATGTTTTTGAAGACAGTAAATACATCTACTTGTCTATCTATATACCTGTAGTAAACAGCATTGACTATGCGTTTGTTCTACCTGCTAGACGCTTTCTCGAACTCCCTTTCAGGATATTTCTTGCCTCTGGTCTATAAAAAGGATCTCTCCCACTTTTTTTTTTCTTTTCTAAAAACGCATTTGTAAAAACCAGATGAAAATAATGGCGGTCAGATTTAAACACCCCAAATCCAGGAAACTCACACTTATGGCTGCAGCGCCTGTCTCTAGCTCCCTCGTCCTGCCTTTGATGTGGTTGGAGCAGTGGGAGATGCTGTCCCCAGTTTGGCGTGAATACTTATCTCGTTTAAAAATACAATGCTGCCGGTTTTATAACAAAAATATGTATATATATAGAAAGCTTTTTTACTGCCTTGGTTAAAAAGTGACATCTGGAAAAAAAAAATTCTGTCTTAGCAAGGGAAAAATTATCTCAGCTTTGCAAAATGACAGCAGATGCCAGCAAACAAATACATAGTCCTGTTTCTCCACTGATTCTCCTACTTTGTCCTTACAGTATCCTTGCATATCAATGGTTTATTGTAACGATGTGGATTAGCATTTTTAAAGACCCTCCTCTCCTTTAGAAGTCCAGAAGCCCTTTGAGCGGACATTCAAAATACAGAGCCGTATCATTACAGCCAGCCATAGGACAGTTTCAGTGCGTGCAAATGACAGACGGGACCAAACCCGAGAATGCAGCCGTCTCTCTTTTGCTAATATTTCTGTACAAAATGTAGCAATGTATTTTATTTTTGTGGCTAACGAATTTAGCCTGCTCGTCCTTCCCGAAATAATTACGATTTCTGGAGGAGAAAGAGACCATTCTCACCAGGTGTCCAAAAGACACGGACATGAAACGGAGCAGGTATTTACCAGGGCTGCTCTGCCTTACCTCCTCGCTGCTCACTTCTTCCGCTACTGTGGGATTCGTTAGTCCCCTGACAACCATCCCGTTACCTGGGGGCGACATCTTGGCAAAAGGAGAGCAACATCCCCACATGAAGTTTTTTCCCGAGAGGGAGGGATCCTGAAACTGTCTGCTCCCATTCACTGGGGGAAAGGGATGGTAAGGGACTCCCAAACCTTGCAGGAAAGAGCTTCATTAAATGAACCTTAGTGCATCAGGGATGCTGTTATGTCAACAATCCAGGCAGTGGTAGTGGGGTTAGATAGTCAGGCTTCCTCCTACAGCTCCCCCCTAATTCCTGCCCTCTAGCTGCCTTGCCAAATTCGGTGTGAAGGTGGAATTTGTGCCTTGGTCACTTCAGCAAGATGCACTGGTGAGATACTGGATTTTTATGGTTGTGTGTCTGGGTGGAGCACAGTTTCTGTGCTTCCTCAGTAAGAGCAGATGAGAAACGATGTTTCTAAATCATGCTCTGACAGGGCAGGTACAGTGAATAGTACTTATTACCCCCTCACCCCAAAGTGGTGCCTGTGCCCTTTACACTTCTGACGTGGAGCGAAAGCCAGATTTCAGGTCTGTCTTTGAGGGTAGCACTGCCGAACCAGAGGAACACACACAGGCACAATAGCTTTAGAGCGCTGTTAACGCTGTTAACGCTTTACATGCTTTGTTGACTCCATCAGTGCAAATCACTTGGGTATTTAACCTCACTTTTTATGTATGTCTGTAATCACACACGTTTGCTTACACAGTAGGAGCCTGATAGCTCTGTGAAGCAGTATATTAGGATCCTCTGAATCTGTTGATGCTACAGTGTTGTGAGGAGCCTTTTTACTGGGTATAATGGAGTTGTCATGCAGGGAGCATGGTGTTTTGTGGTCTGTGGAGGAGGACACCTGAATCTTTCTTTTCTGTGTGTATCAATCCGTTCTGAACCATTTTGGGTGGAATCTGCCTCACCTTCAGAAAAGAGTGTTGATGTTTCTTCTCCCAGGATGATCTGTTTAAGGGCTGTACAGAATCACTAAGAAGCGGAGGGGAAAACTTGATTCTCTCTCCCTGTTGACCCCCAGAGGACTAGACACTGTGGAGAGGCAGACCCAGGAGTGTCTCTTGCCCAGCAGCATGGGAAGGCAGGGTTTGCAAGTCTCTGATGCTGGGTATGGGACTTGGATGTCTTGAGTGTGCCCTTGGGAAGCATAGTGTGAATGGCTCACCTTGCACTTGTGCCTGTGAGGTCTCCAAAACGTGTGAGGGGTTTGAACGAACATGGCACGCCAGCTGATCTGTGGGGCAGCGTATTACAGTGTCCAGTGTTGCCAATTCCAAGGGCTCAAAAATCAGGTCAACCTTGCCTTCCTTGTCCCTCAACTGACTGGCTTAGAAATCAAGACTGTAAGTAGTACCCGATGGATATTTTAACTCTCGTATTGAAATATTGAGGGCTTATGTTTTTGTGCTTTTATTTACAGTCTGGGCTAGAAGTTGCTTTCAAGAGGAAAAAATAGTTACAAGAACAAGCAAACAAAAAGAAAGCTGAGGGCCTGATGAAATTGTACAGTTTAAAGAGCTGGGGCTTTAAGATAGTTCTGAGTTTTGCGATAAAATCATGAGAGATGGCAACACTGAAACTGGTTGCAAAGACACAAAATAGACGATGTGACGTTGACCACAACTTTGCAGTCAGTGCAGAACAGGAAAAATCATGCTCAGCACCATGTCAGCTAATTTGATTTCATCGCTCTGTTCAGATGTCCCAGTATATTTCCAACCAAAAGACTACTAATTTCAATGGAAGAATTTGAGATTCTGTTAAGATCTGAAACTGTGAAAGAGACAGCAAACAGATCAGTCATTCAGTGCTCCATTTTCACCTCACTTCCCTCTCTCTCCTGCAACCCTCAGTGACCATCTGCCTCTCCAGAGCAGTAGCCTAACACATCGTGCCTTCCCTCCCTCTCCCACCCCTGGCTATCTCGGTGTGCTGAAGGCTGAGGCAACACTTCAGCAGTTAATTAATTCCTCTTTTCCTTGGTTCACTAATACATTTGTCCAGTGGAGACGTTTGACTCTCCCCATGCTGCTGCCTGATGTGATGAGGAGTGAAAGTAGAGCACCTCAAGCGTTAATCAGAGTCTCTGGCAAAAATGGTTGGGATCTAGTACCTCATATTCCCAGTACAATTGTGTTTTTCTGTATGCAAGGCTCCCTGAGCGTTTGTGCCTTTAGACGCTGTGTCCCTGCCATTGCATCCATCGCCTGCTAAGAGCCCTGCGAGTGTTATTCCTTTGGTGGTGCCCACCGCATCAGCCGGATGCCCTTGCCGAGGGGAAGCCTGGTTAGAGCCAGGTGAAGCCATCTGAGCAGTTTGCAGCCTGTCCTGGTGGAAGCTCACTTTGATTATGACTGACAGGAGAATCCTTTTGTGTCTTTAATTTTTAATACAGCCTGGTACCAATGGTTTTCATAATATGTTTGTGAAGCTCAGTGTTTTGGGTGTGCTCAGCTTCTTTTCTTAGGGGCGCTCAGAGGAATCTGGAACAACTAGAATTTTCTTTCAGATGAGGACGGATTTTTTTTTTTTTTAACTTTTTTCCTGAAAAGCGAGGCATGGAACTGAAGCACCTCTAAAGTTGTTCTCTGTTTTGATAATGCTGTAGTATTGTTATGGACAGTTGTGGCACCAAGTTCAGAGACTAGGTTTGGGCATTACATTGTACAACAAGCAGCTTTTAGTTCTTTTGAAGGGGTAAATCTCAGCACGGTTACTCCTTCTGGCACCTCCGTAATGTCATTTCTACAGAATGGGTGGGTGGGATCTACATGAGAGTTTAAACATTTGGACTGTCAGTTTTGATGCCCAGCTTGGGATATTCTAGATATACTTGTCTGAGGAGCTGCAGATAAAACCAAAGGGAGTTGCAGCCTGAGTTGTTCCGTATCTCAGCAGTGAGATCAGTGTGTCCCCAACTTGGCATCCAAAAACGGAGGTAGACAAAATTGGTGGCTGCTTTTAATAGTTTGGCTGGGGCAGCAGGGGAGTAGTTAGTAGTGGATGCACTGACCCTGCGGTGCCATATAGCAAATGCCTTTCCATGAAGGGACAGCCTTGATGTGCAGCTGTGGGGAGGAGCCTCTGGACACAAGTCGGGGTACTGAGCTAACTCTGCCTCATGATGGTGGGTGCACTGTGAAACACACTAACTCCCATGCCCTTGTTTTCCCACAGCCTCAGAGCGATCTGTGTGCCCATCGCTGGACGAAGCACCCCCCTTCTCGGTGCCCTTCAAGCCATATGTGTGGAGCAGCTTGGGTGGCTCCGACCTGAGGCACCTTGTGCAAAGCTACAGGCCCTGCCCCACGCTGGAGCGAACCTCAGCCTTAGGGCTCTTCTGTGAGCGAGGCTCCGAGCCTGCCCTCTATGGTGCAGAGTGCAGCTCTTCCCTCGGACTTTATGGTGACTTCAGCTCCCCAGGCCCGGGGCTTTTTGAGAGGCCTCCAGCAGCAGCACCAGGACTCTATGCTGACTCGCAGCCTGGGCTGCAGCAAGAGAAGGGGGCAGGTGGCATCAAAGTGGAGGCGGATCTCCTGTGTCGTCCCCTGCTCCTCAGCGCTGGCTCTTACAAGTGTGTCAAGTGCAGCAAGGTACGGACGGCTTTCCCCTGTGCCGGGTACGACTCTTCCCCAGGCTCTTTTCCTTGGCCAGCCTGACCTCTGCGTGCTCTCTCCCCTCAGGTCTTCTCCACTCCACATGGCCTTGAAGTACATGTGCGCCGCTCACACAGCGGCACCAGGCCCTTTGCCTGTGACATGTGTGGCAAGACCTTTGGCCACGCAGTCAGCCTGGAGCAGCACAAGGCTGTGCACTCGCAGGTGAGAGCTGGGGCGGACTGCCAGGCTGAGGGACACAGGGCCAGGGCTGGCTGCTTGCTTGGGGCTGGCACCAGAGAGGCCACGAGGGCAATCACAGGGCAGTAAATGGGCATTTAAACTGAGGAGAAGAGGAAAGCGTTGTAGGGCCACAGTGGGCAGTTGTGGGTAAAGAATATGGTGGCAGGCAGAGGAGAGGGTGGGCAGCTAGTGAGCAACACATTAAAAGATCACGGGCTTTGTTTCCATTGCCCAGACATTGTATGTGTCTGTATTAAGCAATAGGCGGTTCTGGCACTCTAGAAGTAACAGATAATAAATAATTAAATTTTACTCTCAGGGCTGGAAATTGTAGTGAAGGGTATGGACATTTTGAACAGCTGAAGAAGCTTGCTATGCTTTCCTTTGACCCAGGTCTCCTCACTCCTTCTCCTCCCCCTGCCCCCAAAGAGGTGAATCTCCCCTTGTTTGTAGTCACTGTGTCTATGCAGGGAACATCTGAACACCCAGGCAGGTATAGAGCGCAGACTTCACCCGTCTCGACACACTCTGAGTCACACACCAAAAGAATATGGTAGTTAATTTTGGTAGGAGGATTTGTAACATTTTCCATCTGCTGATATTGTGCCATATTTCCCCTTCACCCACCCACTTGGCCTGGCAAATCTCCCTTCCTCAGATTGGCTTTGGGAGGATAGAGTTACAGTGATGTTTGTTTACTAACTGTTTTATTTACAAGGGCATGAGTGTGCAATGGCAGAGCACACAACGAGGGGAAATATCTCATCACCCACTAAATAGTGGTGAAAAGAGCAGCACTGCACATTAAAGCCGTGGAGGGGAGAACATCTCAGGGAGAGTGCATAAAAAAACTAAATAAAGTAAGACGATTTGTGTGAAAACATAGCAGGAAGAGGAAGGTGCGATGATGGGAGTTGAAGGATGGAAGGAAGAGATGAGTTTATGGCGGAAGAGAGTGATGAGGAAAGGAGCATGTGAGGGAGAGGAGGGGGAGACAGCGAAGTCTTAATGCATTTAGTTTGATTCGTCAAAAAGCTTTTTTCCTGCATGCTCCAGGCTGTGGCTGTTGGGTTCCCAGTGGAGAGCGTTTTGAGAGCCCCTGTTGAAAGGTGCAGGCGGGCTCTGCCTGGTGGGGGCTGTTCCCACCTGGTCATTCCTGGTGGCAGGAAGGGCCAGTCTGTTAAATCTCTGCAGGGAGTGGGAGGCGGTGCATTATCTTTTTTACCATGTGGCGCAGTCATGCTTGAGTTAGTGTCTCCTCAGGCCAGTCCAACTCTCTAGAGAGGAAAAAGTGCTTCCTAGTGCAAAAGGGGCAACACTGATGTGCTGCCTGGTGGTTTGCTGTGGTAGGGTCTCTGGCATGGTGTAACATGCATGTGTTTGGGCTCCTCTCTCTGCAGGAACGCAGCTTTGATTGTAAGATATGTGGCAAGAGTTTTAAGAGATCTTCCACCCTGTCCACCCACCTGCTCATCCACTCAGACACCCGGCCCTATCCCTGTCAGTACTGTGGGAAGCGTTTTCACCAGAAATCGGATATGAAGAAACACACCTTCATTCATACAGGTCAGTCCTGCAGATGCTGGTGTTTGGCCCTGACTGTGGGGGCAGGTCTCGGGGGAGCTCTCCGGGCAGCAGTCTGTTCCTCCTCAGCTGGGACGGTACATGCATCTCTCTGTGCTTCTCACTGCCCTGCTGCAGTCCGCGCTATCTGAGCTCTACTTGTGCAAAGGAGGACGATTTGAATGTGGTTTCATGAACCGCAGCTGCTAAATAACCCAAATCCTCGCAATCCAATCAGTGCTTCCTTAATAGGATCCACCATTGTTTATTCAAAGGGCTTTTTTGTAAGATGATTTGTAGAGCATTATATTCATGTGGCCTTGATTGTCCCTGGAAAATGACAGGTGAATTTGACTGCAGCATCTCCCTTTGCCGGCCCTGCCAGTTTACAATAGGAACCACAGGAGCCTCCTCCTCTAGATCAAACACTAAACTGGAGGGCCCAGGGTCCAACTCTTAGACTAAATATTTGTTCAGAGATTGATTGTCTTCATTTCCACCCGGACCTTCCAAGCACATGGCTGCAGTTTGATACAGAATGGAAGGAGAGGTGCAGAGTTATCAAGTTTCATTGTCAGTAATAAACATGGAAACTAATAAAGTGCAGGTGAATCACTGAAGGAAATTGTTTTTAGAATATTGTTCAGTCAGAAAGCATGTCGGTCAGAGATCTTTAAAAGCAAATCTTGCCTTTCAAACCAGCACCATTGACTTTTAAAGTAATGAGAAATGCGTGACCTGTGTGGGATACAGAAACACTTGTTGGCACAGAATAATGACTCTTACTGGTCAAAGCCAAGGTTCAGGTGACCAAAATCCTGCTCCCTGACAGTGACTAGTAGCAGATATCAAGGGAGGAGTAGCAAAATAACAAATATGTAAGAGAGAGATCATTATACGTTGCACTGCTTGGTGTGAAGTATTTGATTTTTCTAGATCATAAGCAGTGAAAAATAAATGTAACTTATAAAGGTTCTCCACCAGATGTTTTCTGGATGAAACGGAATGATTTAGGAAGTAAAACAAAAAGTGTTTGCCTGATACATTTTTCAGATGAGGCTTGATGAACTAAAATTTCAGCCAAATCCTGAATTAGACAAGAATACTATTTTTATGTGAGATCAGAAACTGCCCCTGGATTTTTAAATTGCTAATATAAAGCCAGGTGCTTAACTGAATCAGGAATCCATTTCATATGCAACATATTCTCGTGACCCGAGCCTCCAGCACGTTTTATATTATCTTATGTTTTTAAGAACCTGATTTTCAAATGTGCAAACAGCACTTGTTGCTCCAGCTGAAGTCAGCGGGCTCTGCAGGTGCAAAGCCGCTCTGAAATCAAGCTTGGAAAGACACACATGTTCTGTGGTTGGGGTTCCCTTTTATCTGTCATTTGGTAATAAACAATACGAACATGCACGGAGATCTGCCCCCATGGGTGCCTATGTGAGTTTTGCCACTGACAACTCTGTAGGAGAAGTTCAGAAGCTGGATTTATTCCTGTTCACATTATTTGTCTGGAGGAGGGCTTCAGAGCTGGCTCCGCGTGACCCCGCTGGCATTTCAGGGTAGGAAATGGAAAGAAGAGCAGATCTCTGGATGAGCCCTGCCCTGCAGGGTTCACTCAAGGGCCTCTTACTTCCCTTGGGGACAGGCCCCAGCTCACTAGGTCTGGCTTAACCACTGTCACCTGCCCCCACGGTGATGCCATAGTAATCAATGTCGGGCAGTCAGCATGGCCTGCGGTGTTTCCAAGGATTCCTGATGTTTCTAGGACCCAAAGCCAATTTAAACCACATAGAGCCCACAAAGCCAAATATCAATGTGTTCACAGGTTATAGTGTCCTGGGAGCACTTTGTGCTTCAGGCTGCTCCCAGGACATCTGGACTGAGACAGTGCAGGTACAGCCAGATCCAGGCCTGCTCAGCTGCAGAGAAGGCCCAGCTAATGCTTCGAGGCTCCCCGTGGCATGTTTTTTAGTAAGAATGAATCACTTGGTGATTACAGAGGAATCACTTTGATTAGCTCTGAGGCCCAGAGCGTGTTTCCTGTTTGTTCTGCACGCCTAAGCAGCATGTTGCCTCTTTCATACCCTCTCTTTCCCCTCTTCCCGCCATCTTCTCCCTGCAGGTGAGAAGCCCCACAAGTGTCAGGTGTGTGGAAAAGCCTTCAGTCAGAGCTCCAACCTCATCACCCACAGTCGGAAGCACACAGGCTTCAAGCCCTTTGGCTGTGATCTGTGTGGCAAAGGCTTCCAAAGAAAGGTGGATTTACGGAGACACCGGGAGACACAGCATGGCCTGAAATGAGTCCCAGCTGCAATACGGAAAGCACCGACAACACTATGAGAACAGACTCCCTTGGTTTCCCGGCTCGACCTGAGCCTTGTCTGTAGCACAGACCCTGGCATTGCCTTTCTGACCAGGAGCTTAGAGAGAAAAGAAGAGAACAGAGCCACACGTTGAAAGCTCAACCTGAAGGACTGTGAAAGCGGAAATTAAAGGCTGGGGTTTCTCTCTCTCTCTCCCCCTCTCTCTTTCTGAAATAACACTGGAAAATAAACCTTTGAGACATGAAGCCTGGTACTCCAAATACGGATAAGCTACCGAATATATGTGAGCTGGAAAATCTTTCACCCATGGCCAAGATGAAACCCCTCAAGTTTTCAGTATCTTGAATTACCTTACAGAGAAACATGGGTGTAACCGTGTTTACGCGCTAATTACACAGCAGTCAGTAAATGCTGTAGGGTGTGCTTGCCTTTGTTGAGTTTCAGTGCTGAATGGCTTCCCTCTTGGTTTCCTACCAGGGAGGCTTGGATCTGGACTGAACTGTGCAGTTTGTTATCTTGTTGCTTTTGAAGCCAAGAGACCAACTTGGGCCTGACCCTGCTCTCACTTATTCTGGCATAAATCAGGAGCTGCATTGACAGAGGGGAGGCCCTTTTGATCCTTCCAGAGCTGTCTCTGTTTATGCAAGACCTGGATGTGCGAGTGTATGTTTGAGGCATGGGGGAATTACTTCTTGCTACATCCACTGGGGAAAAAGAAGTTTGGGAAAGACTTGAGTGGAGAAGCCAAACACAGAGTTATGCCTTATGACTAGAAACCCATGCAACAACCACCTGATCCTGGCTGAGCAGGAGCACAGGGAGGGCACAGACTGTCTGTCTTGGGATGACCGTTGGCTTCCGCACTCTGGGCTTGTTATAAATAACTGGGAAATAGCTACCCAATAGGCTTATTTGTATATTTGTTTTTGTTTTTTAATTTCTAAAGGGAAACTTAACCTGAGGTGGGCAGGAATCATTATAGAAGTATAATTGACTGAATTTGCCTTAAATGACCCTGCATGTACCTCAGTTAAAAGGAAAAAAGTTGTTTTTACTTTGTTGATAGGTTTGTAAATGTCCTTATTTAGATTTTATGGAGTGTCTTATGTTTATGGGTACATATTTATTGGAATAATGTTTTAAATTAATAAAGTATTGAGGATCATCCCGAGTGATTTTTATTTACTATGTGACTTGAACATGCCTGTCAACTTCAGCCCTCATAACTCTACCCCACTTCTAAACGTTGCGAGGGCTGCGCCGCTCACGGAGGAACACAGGCAGCGCAGAACTTTCCCAGTGGCTCTGGCGATTAAAAAGCACAGATGTCGTATTTGTGTGTCTGACTCCTGCTGACTGCAGTTAAAGCACTTAATGCTTTTGAAGACTGGGGAATGCTGTTTAGGATTGTTGCCATAAAAGGATGTAGAGGCGGAACAGCAGTTGAAGTGCCAGCCGCTGAAACTTGGGCTGTCAAAATTCCCCACTCAGAGCAGGAGGCACCTGAAGGTCCTGCAAGATTAAACGCCTGTGCCTGGCAGTTGGCAGGGGCACCCGAGCAGCGGGTGCCTCAGTTACACGCCAGTCCGTTGGGACGGGCAGAATTGCCTTTTGCCGGCCCGCCTCGGGAGCAGGCGCGCTCCAGCTGGCAGCCGCAGCCCGCACAAAGGGGAGGCAGGAG